AAAAAGCCTCTTTCGGGGTCGACCTGGTCATGCACTGATCCAGGGAGCTTGCAACAATCTCCACCTATTGGTGAAATCGACCAACACATAAAACCCTGCCATTTGGGCTCTATTTTCTTCCTACCGAGGGGGATGCTCACAGGTGATTCCCATTCCCATTTTCTCCACATCCTCCCTGAAGGCAGGCAGCCGGGGCAAGTGGCCTTGGGCAGCTTTTCAACATGATTGGTGACAACCAGGCGTTTTCAAGTTTTTAATACCAAACACGTCGATGTTAGTGAAATGTTTATAATATAAACACGGGTGGGTGGGGACTGTTTGATAATGAGTTTAAAGTGTGCTGATCCATTTTCTGCGCACACAACAAGCGGTCTTTGGAATCAGTGTACGTATATGGAGCCCATGGCAGGTGCTCAGTAGTTTGTTGCTAGGTCCGGGATTATGAAGAATAAGATGTCGTCTCCGCCTGAAAAATGTTAGACACTATGTCTTGCCGTTCAATAAAGACAATGGTTTTGTGGTTTTACGTATAATCTCAAGTCTATTATCTACGCAGGTGTTCTTGGACCTCGAATACCAGGCTCTTGGGTCTCAATGTCATAGATATGAGTGCTGAGCTCAGTACAAGATGACACAGATGGCGTTTATTGAAAGGAGCGTGTGCGCAGGGAGTGGACCAGAAAAGCGAAGGCGGCTGTCTGAGAGATCCTTGTGCCTGGCTGATGTAGGCCCTGGGAGGGAGGGCTGGGCCAGTGGACCACCCAGAGGGCCTGTAAACAATGCCTGCATATACATTCCGGTCATCATTTAATGGACAAAACAACAATTTTGCAGCACATGCAGTTAAGAAAGTATGTCATATTCTTTCCTTTAACGATGTGGTTAGGTTAATTTTAGTTACAGACTTTTATTGAAAGCAGGAAGTCATAGGCCTCTAATAGAGTTCAGAGAGTGTTACCCTGTAGAGCACATGTGTCAAACACAAGGCCCGCGGGCCAAATCCATCCTGCCAGGCCTTGCAATGTGGCCCGCACCGCGCTGTCATCACTGCACTCCACTGCGTTTCCATCACAATGACAGTTTATGACTGTTCAGTAAACCATTCGGCCCGCGATTTAGGCTGGATTTTAGATTTTGGCCCCTTCTCTGATTGAGTTCGACACCCCTACTGTAGAGGGCCGCCTGGGAAGGCACATGGGCATTTTCCTTAATTATCGTCAGCTGAACTCAGGGTGTAGGCAGAGCCATGCCTTGGGAACATGTTTCCCCAAGATGGCGGACATGTGGTCAGCGTGGCCTTCATATCAGCCCAGGTGTCCGTAGGGGAGGGACTAGATATGTAAATCCTGTCATGCCAGGGCCCACTTAAGAATGCAAATAAGTTGCCGAGACCGGTTTGGCTCAGTGGATAGAGTGTTGGCCTGTAGACTGAAAGGTCCCGGGTTCGATTCCAGTCAAGGGCATGTACCTTGGTTGCGGGCACATCCCCAGTCGGGGGTGTGCAAGAGGCAGCTGATCGATGATTCTCTCTCATCGATGTTTCTAACTCTCTATCCCTCTCTCTTCCTCTCTGTAAAAAAATCAATTAAAAATATATTTTAAAAAATCTATCTCTGTGTCTTCTCTCTATATTTCTATTATTTCTATTATTTCTCAATCACTGGCCGCCTCCACTTAGAACCGGTTCACTCATCTCTCTTTCTGTGCGGGACGCAGAAAAGGGAGATCCTTGCCGCATCAGGCCCCTGCGTTACCCCAATGCTGTCTTATACGTTTCTGGGTTCTTTTTGCTAATGTGCACCTCTGAAACTCAGGGTTAACATTTTTGTAGGAGGAAAACCTTCTGGGAGGAGGAAATAAATGTCTCTCACCCGCAGCTCGGACGGATCTGTTCAGCAAAAGCAGTGCTGCATGCCTTTGCACAAAGCCTCTACAACGGAAACCAACTCCCAAAGACAATTTGCAAAATACCTGTCATTTAGGTTCATTGGAGGGAGAGAGACAAACAAACAAGCAAAAATCCCTAAGTACAGGCTAAGGAAGTGTTTTTAGGGAACATTTCACAGGCCTCGTCGTTGGAAAGCCCATTTTTTGCTGTTGGATTGTATGGGTGCTCGCAAAGACCATGGTACACTGAAATGCAGACATTTCCCGTCTATTAACCCATCACAATAGGAGGTTGCCCTTTCCTAGGTCACTGTGGATTCATCATACCCCTCCCTCCCCTGGCACATTCCTCACCCCACCTACATAATCATTTTATCTCCTTTGGGAAGGGTGGCCTTCCTGTGTTGTGCTGTGCTGTCTGGATAAGGTTGGTGGCAGTGGGCTGTCTCCTGATGGGTAGACATTCTTTTGGGAAGAGACACTCTCAGTCAGAAAACCTGACTGGTGGCTGCCAAGGGCTGGGAGAAGGGAGAAGTGGGGAATTATCTTTTAATGGGTTCCAGTTTGGAAGGTGAAAAAGTGGAGATGGATGGTGGTGATAGCTGTACAGCACTGTGAATATACTTAATGCCACTGAACTGTACATTTCAAAATGGTTAAAATATAGTTCAATTTTGTTATGTATGTTTTCACAAACACACAAAAAGCCTCTGTGGGAGCTACGGGTCTTTTCTAAACAAAGGCGTGAATTATAGATTTTTTTCCAAAAAGTTAATTATTATACATTAAAAGCAAATTAAAAAAAGAGTCTTGTTAACTAGAAAATGGGATATGAATAGTAGTACAAATGATGGAACACAGATATCACGATGATTTCATGTTTAATATATATATTTAAATAACAATTAATGTACCACAGAATATGTACATCAATATTTTGAAAAGGAATTTTTATTGTAACTCAATCTGAGTAACTATTAATATTAAACTGCCATCCATGTGAGACAATTAACAGTACTTCATAATGTATAACTGACATACATTCCTGCAGCTGCATTTGTTGTACTAGCTCAGTGGTCGGCAAATTCCTTAGTCAACAGAGTGGCAAACTGCAGCTAGCGAGCCACATGGGCTCGAGAGCCGCAGTTTGCTGACCACTGTACTATCCTATGTATTTCAGGATTTTCAGGTCTCAGCTGAAGAGGTGATTCTACCTGCTGGGTAGAGATGCATCAGATCTTACCTTTTTTTTTTTTTAAGCAATAATCAAAACATTAATAAATGACATAGACTGAGCGTATTTTTTTTCTTATAATAAAAGTCCAGAATGAGTAATAGAATAAACACTGTTGGCTTTTGAAAAAATTAACACAAAGCAAAAATAACAGAAAACCCAAATGTATGGACATTTTCAATAACACGATGGTATTGTCACAGTTCCCCAGGTTTGATGAGCTTCTCGAATGGACTCTGCCTCTGATGTGAAGCTCTTTGTTCCGTACTCTGCATACACACGGTATTTGCTCATTACACTTCTGTTGCTTGTGACTATTGACCCCAAGAAGGAATATCTCTGCCGAGGACTCCCTGTGGGTAATTGGGCCCAAATTTCTAACTGGAGTCTAGAGACCTCTCAGGCATACTGCATTTCCAGGAAAAGCCACAGGCTCCGCGGCCAAGCTTCCTGCACTGCGTTTCTGCAAACCTGAGCCAACCTTTCTAAAGGAGTTCCTGGAACCCTGTTTCAACCAGTGGGCTGAGAGCTGCTGTGTCCAATTGGAGCTGAGCAGCTACATATTCCTTTGCGTCTTTATTGACCAATTAGAGCAGCTCCATAGCAACAGAGACAGCAAATCCAGTAATATCTAGCTTAATTATACATTGGTGGTGACCTACTAACAAGGTCCCTTGTGAGTAATAATTGAGAATTAAATTTTAATTATTCTTTAAGTTTGGTCATATTACCAAAGGAGAGCATTATACATGGTTTTAATAGTGCCACTAATTTAGAAGGTATTTAGCCATAACCTACTTAACCATTCTCTTGTTTTTAGACATGCAGGTTGTTTTTAATATTTTATTATCCTATCTTACCTAATAAAAAAGAAACATGCAAATTAACCATCACTCCGCTATGCCCACAGCCAATCAGAGTGAGTATGCAAATTAACCCAACAAAGATGGCGGTTAACTTGCATAAGTAGGCGCAGAGAGGGGCGGTGGAGGGAGCTACTGGAGTGGTGCTCCGGACAGAAGTGAGGAGTTGCTGGCTCAGGGCAGCCTGGGAGTGGGGACTTGCGAGCTCCTGGGCAGCTGGGAGGGAAGCCAGGGGAAGGAAGGCCCATTTTGCACCAATATCATGCAACGGGCCTCTAGTATAATAATAAAAGCCTAATATGCAAATTGTCCCCTTGGGCAGTTATTCGACTGGGAGTTCGACTGTTCGCTATGACGTGCGCTGACCACCAGGGGGTGGTGTGGAAGATGGTGGGCATCTTTTATGCACTGTGACCTCTTGCTGGCTACCTGGAGGCCCAGGGTGAGGGGTGGCGACAGAGGTCCACCGAGCTCACTCTCACTCCCCTTGCTGCTCTCCCCTGGAGATTTTCCCTCTCTCTCCTCCCCGCTTGTGCTCAGGTGTCATGCCAGGCAACGTGTGCCTGTGAGGAGCCCGCTCCGCACCTGCATAGCGTCTTCTGGGTGAGCCGGGCTGCAGCTGCCAAGGACCACAGGTCTGCGAGGCTGGTCAGGGGAGAGTGTGCTGCCCACCTGGCTTCTGTGGAGCGCTGCTAGGTGGCCCAGAGGCCCACGCTTGCCCCAGCCCATGGCATCCTGCCTCACCACATCTCCACCTGGGGATTCGGGTGCCATCACTCAGGCAGAGGAGGGCACTGGGGACCCTGGGACCCAGGTGCTTCCCAGGGCTCAGAGATCAGCTGGACATGCCAGATGCTCGCGCTTCGATCGCTGGCCAACTAGGGACTGCACCTGCACATGAATTTCATGCTCCTAGCCTCTAGTCTTAAATAAATTTGCAAATATAGATCTGGAGGTAGGGGGCACTTTTTTTTAGTTCTCACCCAAGGATTTTTAAAAAATTGATTTTAGAAAGAGAGGAAGGGGAGGGGAGAGAGAGAGAAACATTGATGTGTGAGAGAGAAACATCAATCAGTTGCCTCCCACACTAACTGGGGATAGAACCTGTGACCTAGCCATGTGTCTGGCCCAGGAATTGAACTGGCAACCTTTTGGTGTACAGGACAATTTTCAACCAACTGAGTCTCCTAGCCAGGACTGTATGGGGGAGGGGAAGCACTTTTATTCAAATTTAGATTATTTCTTAGGATTGATTTCAGAAATGGAATTATTGTATCAAAAAGAAACTTTGTTTTTTGACATGCATAATCATGCAGCTTTTTAAAAAGGCAGAAACAGTTTATATTCCCACCAGTAACATATAAGAATTCCCATTTTATCACATTCCTATTGGAACTTCGTATATTTTTTTCCTAATTTGCAAATTTGATAGGCAAAAAAAAAAAAAAAATGCTATTTTGTCTTTGTGGTTGAACATATTTTCCAGTTACTTTAAAGCTAGTTTGTTCGTTTTTTCCTTTTATGAATCATCTATGCCTGTTAACAAAGCATTCCTAACCAGGCACTCAGCTTACCAAGTTCTAAAATGTTCCTTAAGATGCTGAACAGCTTTCCCCAGCATGTCGCTAACAAAGTTAGAACCCTCAGAAGTTTCTTCAAGAGGGATCTCGAGTGTGAAATTGGGGGAAGGCAGAATGCTCACGTCTGTCATCGTTTCCTCTTGTTTGGGAAGGTTTCCTTGGCGAACACCTGGGACTCCCTGAGAAGGATTAAACAGTAAAAGATTACTAAATTCCGGTGCACATGCGGGGTTAGTTTAATACCACATTCGTCAGGATAGGCTAGGCTGTGCTGAGGTAACAAATTTGCCCAATATCCCAGCAATTTCATACAACAAAAATTATTTCTCACTCTATACATCTAGACACTCAGGACCCGCACTGACAGAGGTATGTCATCTCATAGCTGGAGCACGCGGAACACGTGGCTTTCTTTGTGGCCTCGGTAGAGAAAGAGACTCTTCACTATAGCTCAGACTAGGAATAACACTTGCCATTTTGTTCACATTTCCTTGCCACGTGGCACCACTTACCTACAAGAGAAGCTGGAAAACGCGAGTGAGCATGTGGAACATTTGGTGAGTGCTACTGTCTGTGCCACAAACTCTAAAATGATGCACCAAGTTTTATACACGTGCGTGGGATTTTTATAAGGACCAGTAATCTGAAATGCACGATAGTTGCTGTCTTAATGAATTCTTAAGTGCATATACTTTGATTTTAACCCTTTAAATTTTTTTGATATGCAACATGATGTAACCGTAAGAGGACTATTTGAACTTTCCCCCCCCCCAATAAAATCCCTTATAAATAAACTAAAGCAAAATATTAAGCAACCTGGGCATGTGCCCTGACTGAGATTCGAACCAGTGACCTTTTGGTTCATGGGTCGATGCTCAACTACTGAGCCACACCAGTTGGGTGAGGTGAAACTTTTAAGGGGATGAGGCAAGCGGGATTGAGAAGAGGGAGAAGCCAGTCAAGGACCTCTAGCCACAGCCTGGCCCTGCAGGGAGCGCTGGAGCATAAGTGGCCCCAAGGACAGTGCTTTGGAGAAGGTGCAGGCTGAGCAGTTGGCAGCAGCTCCTGCCAGAGCTGGAAGCTGGGTCCCCAGCGATCAGGACAGGTCACCAGCATGACATGCTGCCCATTACATGCATCTTCAATGCTCTGTCCAGTGACGTTTGTATCCAGGTCTTTTTAGGAACCTGTCAATACTGACCTCACCAGGAATGGCTAGCCGGGCTCATTTGTTTATTAATGTAATGGGTGTGTCAGGGCAAGGGTAGTCAGGAAAGAAATGTAGTCACTGTTATATATCATGTCAAAGGAGTTATTCATTGAATGTGAGAGACATGGTATAAATCCATGGCAATATGTTTCTATGTAAAGTTAGTGTGCAAATATGTTTAATTTTCAAGGTGATTTAGTAGTTTCATTATGTAAAAAACTAATAAGAGCTATAGTTTATAGAGACTCTTGCCTTGTATAAGGAACCTACACTAATCGCTTTACAGATGAGCATTTTAAAGTAGCTATTATTAGTCCCATCTTTCAGGTGGAAAAACTGAGGCCTGGAGAGGTTGAGGAAATTTCCAAAATTTACTCAGCTGGCTAGTTTCAGAGTCAGCTTTTGAACTCAAGTTGCTGAATCTGAGTCTTCTCTCTTAAAGTCCATAGTGGCCAAGTTTTATTTGTCTATTTATTTGTTAATCCTCACCAGAGGATATTTTTCCATTGGTTTTTAGAGAGCATGGGAGGGTGAGGGAGAGACAGAGAGAAACATCGATGAGAGAGACGCATTGATTGGTTGCCTCCTGCATGTACCCTAACCAGGGCTGGGGAACCTGCAACCAAGGTATGTGCCCTTGACGGGAATCAAACCCAGGACCCTCAGTCTGCGGGCTGATGCTCTATCCACTGAGCCAAACAGGCTAGGGCTTATCGGCCAAGTTTCTTCAAGGTTACCTATATCAGTTTATAGCACCACGACTCTAAGCAGAATTGGCCATCTCTAGATTACTAAATATTTTGTGTTTTAAATTGTTTTTCTTTATAGAGTTATTTTTTGTTTGTTTTCTAAAGACCACATGCACTACATTATATCAAATTAGCCTAAATACAATCACAATGGAAACACGAATATCCTCCGACAGTTCCCCCCGCCCCCCCGCAATACACAAGTCAACAGAAAAATCAACGTATGCATATATAATCTCCATATCTGTTCTTGGACCCTCCATTACCTTTCTGGAATTGAAGGTGTTCTCAGTTCCTGGAGTCTGGTTTGCCAGTTCAGTCACCCAGCCAAATTCCTCTCTCATCTTCTCCATCAGATACGCCGTGTCCTCCAGATGATGTTGCGTCACCTGGAGAATCTGGACGTACTGCTGATCGGAGATGTTGACCAATTTAAGGGCCTCATCTACTTTTGTGTGTAGTTCAGGGACATCGGGACAGTCTAACAAAGAAGAAAGTGAGGTGGTAAAGGAAATGGTCCATGAGACTTGGAGTTGGGTGAGGTGAGTCTAAATCCCAGCCCTTCAGCTTTCTATTTCCAGCCTTTTGACCTTGAGGGAGTGTTCAACGAAGTAACCTGGGCGGGGATGAAATAACGTAAAGTGCCTGATCACACCGTGTACGTTGTAGACTTAACAAACGTTACCCTTCCTTTTCCTTCCTTCTGTGCTGTCTCTGAAAGCCATTAGGGCTGCTCACTGATATTCTGATCGGGACACATGGGGGAACACGCTTCCTGCCACCTTGAAGTCCAGCACAATGCTCTTCAAAGCGATGTGTCTCCCTCGGGGTGGAAGCTGGGAGAACAGTGTGGGATTTCCCACGCTCCCTTTGGTGGAGGCTCTGTCATCCTGGGGAGGGATGTGCTGCAGGACCTCGCTCAGACTGCAACTGGCACTCTGTAGAGCACATGTGTCAAACACAAGGCCCGCGGGCCAAATCCGTCCCGCCAGGCCTTGCAATGTGGCCCGCACCGCGCTGTCATCACTGCACTCCGCTGCGTTGCCATCACAATGACAGTTTATGACTGTTCAGTAAACCATTTGGCCCGCAATTTAGGCTGGATTTTAGATTTTGGCCCCTTCTCTGATTGAGTTCGGCGACACCCCTACTGTAGAGCGAGAAAGAAACCTTTGTGTTTGCAGGCCACTAAGACCCTCCAGTTCTTTGTTATTATGGCCTCACAGCCCATCTGAACTGTGGCAGCGTTAGAGGAGCTTGTATAGGTGTGCTGAAGAGCAGGTTAATGTTGTGTGAAGATTATCTGTATATTGTGGAAGCTTCCGTGCGTTAGGGCATTTTATTTTATTTTTATTTTTAAAATATATTTTATATTTTATTTTATTTTATTACTTAAATATATTTTATTGATTTTTTACAGAGAGGAATAGAGAGCTAGAAACATCGATGAGAGAGAAACATCTACCAGCTGCACACACCCCGTATCCCCCACTGGAGATGTGCCTTCAACCAATGTACATGCCCTTGACCAGAATCGAACCTGAAACCCTTCAGTCTGCAGACCAACGCTCTATCCACTGAGACAAACCGGTTTCGGCCATTAGGGCATTTTAAATCATAAGAGATCGTTGTGGTGGAGAAAGACCAGTCTCGATAAACTGACTTGTCTTTTGCCGTTTACTAAAAAACTGTGCCTTCAGCAAGATAGGAGTGATGGGAACTCCACCAATCAGAAGCCAGGTGACTGCCTCACCTCAGGTCTTAACCATCATTTATTAGTCCTTTTATTATATTTTTTAAATCCTCACCTGAGGATATTTTTCCATTGATTTTTAGAAAGAGTGGAAGAGAGAGGGAAAGACAGAGAAACATCGATGTGAGAGAAACACACCAACGGGTTGCCTCCCACGGGAGCCCTGACAAGGGCGGGGCCTGGGCGGAGCCTTCAACCAAGGTCAGAAAACAGACTCAACCCTCCACATTTGCCAGTATCTCCTTGGCTAAGCCAAGATTCATAGGTCAGAAAACAGACTCTACCTCTTAATGTGGAGGATGGCCAAGTATTGTGGTCATTCTGTTTTCAACCTACTGCACACAGTCCCCTTCTGCCTGCAAGAGGTCCCATTTTATGCCTGTTGTTCTCAAGTAATTATTAATATTGCCTACATCCCTTCCAAAAGAGATCCAGTTTAATTGACAATTATATGGTCTTATGTAACAGGAACTGGGCCAGTGACCGAAATTCCTTGGTATAAAACCCATGTGCTGACCACCTAGATTAAAAAATAGAATATTACCCTGATGCGTCCCTTCCATATCACGACCCGCTTACCCCCTCAGAAGGAAATTACCATTTGGAATTTGGGTGTATATATCCAGTTCTGATCATTGGTAAGGGAAAAGAGGAAAAGAGCCACTAATACTGACTCTGGTGACCAAAAATGTATGGTAAAGGGTGAAAAAAAATTTGATGTACTGTGTTTTGGAATCTATTTTATTTACATATAAGATTATAATTATAGCTGTGCTTAGTATTAGAACAAAGAACAAGTCAAATGTTGACTAAAGAGGCAAATTATTTACTGAAAGACGTATTAGAATTGTTTGTAAAACATTTGAAACAATTTAAATGTACTTCAGCAGAATGCATAAACTGTGATATGCTTGCTTTGACTAACATACTACAATGAATTAATGAGTTACAATAACATGTATTCACATGATTAAATCTCACCAACTGTACTGAATAAAAAGCCAAGTTGCAAAAGAACAAAAATGTAAGCAGTAACATTTATGTTAAGAAAAAATTGTCCCAAACTTGGCAGTGAGGCAAAAGTATGGCTGTGTGTCCTTGCAATGTCATATAGAACATTCGCTAAGAGGTCCACCCAAAGATTACCTACTTCCCTAGGGAAATGGTCCTTGTTGGATTTTCTATTTCTGTTGAGAAGGGCCAGACTCTATGCAGTTATATGTAAATTATGGATTAGAAAGTTGCAAGAAATTTTCATCCAGTACAAATGTAAACTATTTTGGCCTGATAGAAAACATAACTGCAAAAGTTACAGTTTTATTGTCCTTTAGTAATGAACTAATTTTATATCTAATTTTGCAATCTTACTTGAACATTCTGTCTGCCTTTGACTCTAGGTACTTCAGTCTCTCCTGTACTCCTCTGAAACAGCTTGGCATTTGGCTGCTTCTCCCATTCCTAGGATAAATTAATCTTGACATGTCCTCATTTTACATTTGTATGAGTCACATTTTTAAGCTTAAACATTATTCTTTGACACTGTAAAAAAAAAACACACACCATAAAGCTTTGCTACATATGGTGTGCATGCTATATATAAACACACATGATAAAAATATAAATGAGTTCAAGGAATAATAAACTCCAAGTTCAAAATAGCAGTTTCCTTTTAGGGGATAAAGAGAATGCGACGTAGAAGGGGCGCAGCGGGGACTTTCTCTGTTTCTGGTAATGTTTAATTCTTAATCTATGTTTGATACATGAGGGTTTCTTTTTTAATTTTAAAGAGAGAGAGAAACATTGATTTGCTCCACTTATTTGTGCATTCATTGGTTGATTCTTGTATGTGCCCAGACCAGGGATGGAACCCGAAATCTTGGCATATTGGGATGACACTCTAGTCAACTGAGCTATCCAGCCAGGACAACAAATAAGTTTTTATTATTTTGCTCTTTATATATTCACAATAAAATGCATTTTTATAGTGAACATTTTAAATTGTAGGGGGGCACATGAGGACATCCTTTCCTTTATGTGTTATCTTTGCAGCAACTTACATTGCCTGTATGTTGTGTTGTCTGCTGTATACTACAATACATCTGACACATTATCGGGTGTGTACCGATTATCCGATGCTATATACTGATTATGTTTATACTATATTATCTAATATCTTCTGTATTATCTTTTTCTAGTTTTATTAAGAAATGATTGACATATATCACTTTAATCAATGTAAGGTGTACAGCATGATGGTTTGATTACATATATTTTGAAAGGATTCCTGCATTATGTTAAGTTAATGTTCATCACTACATACAGATAGAATAAAGGGAAAAGAAAATGCTCCTTGTGGTAGAACTCTTAGAATCTGCTCTCTTAACTCCCATATAAGCCACACAGCAGTGCTAACTAGACATCATGTTGTACATTACATCCCCAGGTCTTATTTATGATGTAACTGGAAGTTGGTACCTTTTAACCACCTTCCTCCAAACCCCTCCCCATCACCTGAACTAGTTTATGATAATCAGTAAGAGATTATTCACTAAAGCTGCTAACTGGATGAAAGGAAGTTAACAAAACGTTTGAATGGGGCTATTTTTGTAAGTGGTTAGTATATTAGTGTATATCGATACTTTTCTCTTATGAAAACTTCTGTTTCTGTGAGCAGTCTCACACTATGACTTAAAAAACAGACAACTTGCCGAGACCAGTTTAGCTCAATGGATAAAGCATCGGCTTGGGGACTGAAGGGACCCGGGTTCGATTCCGGTCAAGGGCATGTACCTTGGTTGTGGGCATATCCCCAGTGGGGGGTGTGCAAGAGACAATTGATGGATGACTCTCTCTCATCGATGTTTCTAACTCTCTATCTCTCTCCCTTCCTCTCTGTACAAAATCAATAAAATATATTTTAAAAAAATAAAAAATAAAAAACAGACAACTTGAGTAGTGAGCATCATTACCCCTTCAGATATTTTATTTAATCCTCAGAACATCGGTACGAAGCAGCTATATCAGTCCCAGTTTCCAAATGATAGAGCACAGGTGCAGAGAGTCACCCAGTTAGCAATTCAGACAAAATAAGGCCCTCCTGGCTTTCACAAAAAGGTCCAGTTTATAATATATTCAACCTCTTACTCCGAGCCCCTAGCCACACTTGTTTTTAGAATTTCCTTCCTGTAGGGCTTTGGCAAACAGAAGCACCGGAATCAAAAGCTCTTCTTGGCTTTTGTAAGAAATTTTCTGTTCAGGTCCTAAGAGGGTGAAGGAGCAACTTTATTATTATTTTTTTTTTAAATTCTCACCCGAGGATGTTTTTCTATAGATTTTCAGAGAGAATGGAAGAGAAAGGGAAAGCAGAGAGAAATATCGAACCTGGGATCCTTCAGTCCACAGGCTGAAGCTCTATCCATTGAGCCAAACGGGCTACGGCCAAAGGAACAGCTTTAGTTACGGGAAGTAAAGGGAGGTGAGGGGACTGTGGGTAGAAGGATTTCTCTCCTGGGGTTGAACAACGGCCATGGTCAGACCCGGGAGAGCAAAGTCTGCGTGGGGCTTGAAAGGAGCAGGCACTTCCCATTTTAAATACCAATTAGCAATTAGCCCATCAAGTGGGAAAGTTAATGCCACTTTCAAAAAGAAAAAAAAAATCACTTGGCTAAAATGTTGCTGACTTAAGGGAAATATTGCCTTCATTGGGTGTGTGGGGGGGTTCTTTTCTTTCTTTCTTTCTTTCTTTTTTTTTTTTCAGCAAGAAGGAAGGAGTTGTCCTAAATTGTTAATAGTTCTCTTGCACACAGTTGTGCTTGTTTGGTCTTCAAACTACCAAAACTTCCGCAGGAAAGGGAGGGAATTTTAACAAGGGGAAAAAGTTATTTTACCTGGTTTTCAATAATAGAAGTTTGTAAAGCAAACTGAGCACCTCCATCTGAAAATGAGCTCGCTACAAACGTGCATGAAGGGAAGCAAATAAACCCACGATGCTTGTAAAAGTGAGTTGTTGTTCTTTTAACCTCTGACCAGAATACTATTGAAGCCCTGAGAAAATAATAATTATTTACCTTCCCATAGATAATCCTGGCACTGTTGGCATCTTGCATGACATTGGGAACAGTCTGACAAATTCTGGCCACGTTCTCCACACAGTCCTCTGTCCCGCACAGGCTCTGTCTGTGAACTCGGGCCTCCAGGGTCAGCGTCTGCAGGAAACACAGCGTTTACACGTCAGGTCTGCACTTTCAGGGGCTGGGTAGCAATGCCATTTCTTTTTCTTACCGGTGCTCTCAGAATCTCCTTCCTGTTTTTAATCATAGGAGTGCATGTTGGTGCAACCATATGCTAAGACAACTTGACATCTATTGAAAGCTGTATATATATCCTCTAATTCAGCAATCTCATTACAAATCATTATTACTCATCATTACGAGTACACTCCCTTTGCCCCACCCCCAGAAAGAATTTTATTTTCTGGAAGGAATCATGAGGAATTATTAATGGTAACTTGTTCAGAGAGAGACTTGATGGGCTAAAAGAGGACAGCTTTCATTCATTTTGTTCCTTCGTATATATGAATTCTTTTAAATTAAGTCTTATTTTTATCACTATTATTTCTGATGTCAGTGGGGTTAACTAAATAGGAAATTGTACAGAATGGCTCAGTGGTTGAGTGCTGACTATTGAACCAGGAAGTCATGGTTCCATTACTGGTGAGGGCATGTGCCTGGATTGTGGGCTCGATAACCCAGTGTGAGGTATGCTGGAGGCAGCTGATGGATGATTCACTCTCATTATTGATGTTTATGTGTCTCTCCCTCTCCCTTTCCAAAATCAATTAAGATATATTTTTTAAAATATGGCATTGTAAACCACTTTTCTCTTTAGATTTGAATTTAAAATTTTTAATAATTATTTTAATTTTTTAAAGTAATAATTGAGAAATATATTGAAGTTTCAAAGATATTAAAAATGTTTGTTTCTTGCCAATCAGTGATTCTCATCATTGATGTTTCTAGTTCTCTTTTCCTCACCCTTCCTCTATGAAATAAATAATATATATACACCTAGCACATTAAAATATATATATTTTAAATGTCTGTTTCTTGCCTGGCCAGCATTTCTCAGTGGTTGAGCATACACCTATGAAACAGGATGTCAAGGTTTGATTCCCTGTCAGGGCATATGCAGGGGTTGCAGACTTGATCCCCAGTAGGGGGTGTGGAAGAAGCAGTCGATTAATAATTCTCTCTCATCATTGATCTTTCTATCTCTCTCCCTTCCTCTCTGAAATCAATTATATATATATATATATGGAGCAAACTGCAAAATATCTTCTCATTAGATAAATTTTCTAGAGGCTATAGGTTTACTTTTCACTTACCACTTGTCCAGAAAAGTGATGGAAACCACATGTTAATACCCTCCAGCCTCTACCTGCCTATCCTATATAATAAAACCATAATATGCAAATCGACTGAACGGTGGAATGACTGGTCACTATGATGCACACTGACCCCCAGGGGGCAGATGCTTAACTCAGGAGCTGCCCCCTGGGGGTCAGTGTGCTCCCACAAGGAGAGCACCGCTCAGCTAGAAGCCAGGTTCACAGCTGGCAAGTGCAGCGGTGGTGGTGGAAGCCTCTTTTGCCTCTGCAGCAGAGCTAAGGGTCCCTCGGGGGATGTCCAACTGCCAGCTTACGCCACTTCCCATGAGTTGGCCTAATCCAGCAGTGAGACATCCCCTAAGGGGTCCCAGACTGGGAGAGGGTGCAGACCGGGCTGAAGGTCTTACACACACCCCCTCCCCCTGCCCCACAGTGCACGAATGTCATGCACCGGGCCTCTATTTCTTTATAAAGAGTCCCCATGTGTCCATCTGGGAAGAGAATGTCTACTTTATTGAGCTTGCCCCATACCATCTGGTTAGGGTAGGGTTACTGGAGAAAGAAGAGTATAAAGATATTAATATAACACTGGCTATTTTGTTTTTTGTTTTTAATGTTTGAGTTTATAGGGGACCCTGGATCTCCAAGTTATCACTGAGGTGAAGGGGGATGAGGGGCAGGGAGCAGGGGGCCCAGGAGCCAGCTGAGAGTAGGGACTGGAGCCAGAGTGTGTGGATGGGGGGGACCTCTTGCGGATTGGTGGAAACGCGCATTCTGAGTTGGCGGTGGAGGAGGGAGTTGCAGTGGCTGGGAAATGGTTTAGATTTCAACTGTCTGAGTTACTAGTACTCCTGTGCACATTTGAATGTAGCAACCCATGTGTAAGATTGCTACACAATGTGAAAGCTATAGGGGAGGAGGAGGGCATAATTTTGCTTCAATGAACATGTTCTTCATTGTTGGACTATTGTTCCAAGACAATAGATAGCTATTTAAAAATGCAGGCAAGCAGAAACCGATTTGGCTCAGTGGATAGAGCGTCGTCCTGTGAACTGAAAGGTCCCAGGTTCGATTCCAGTCAAGGGCATGTGCCTTGGTTGAGGGCACATCCTCAGTAGGGGGTGTGCAAGAGGCAGCTGATCAATGATTCTCTCTCATTGATGTTTCTAACTCTCTATCCCTCTTTCTTCCTCTCTGTAAAAAATCAATAAAATGTTTTGTTTGTTTTTTTAAATGCAGGCAAAACTTAGCCAGTATCATCCCCGCATTGATATGTTTAGTGTGTTGTCCTTATGTTGTCCTGGATATCTGGGGAACTTGGGATCTCAGAACGGAATACCAGACAGAACGTCTGACTTACCAGAAAGGTCCACCAAACCCTGAAATAGAGCCTGATGACAATTCCAGTAACGATGGCTGTTCTCCTCATGGAACAATGGAAGGATGTAGTGCTTTTTTTTTTTTTTTTTCCTGGCTTCGGTTTCTGACAGTGAGAGGCAAGCCCCTCCTCCATAGAGGCCTGCTGTGCAATGTCATGGCAACTTGGAGAATCTGATTCAAATGTTGCCAACTACAGCTGATGCAATTGGAGAATAGTCAGCTAGAAGGAGTCCCTTTTTTTCCTACATACAAAAATCCGCCTATAATTAATATATACAAGTGGATGCGTTCGGAGATAAGTATTCACACATGCAATCACCCTCACAATCTTTGCCATAAAATATCCATCAACTCAAAAAATATCCTCCTGCTCTCTTATTTATTATTATCATTATTGTTATTACCAAGAACTCTTAATATAAGAGCTACCCTCTTAGCAATGTTTCAGAGTATCCGATAGAGTGCTATTAACTATGGGCACTAGGCTATGCAATAGATCTCTAAGAAGTATTCCTGGTATATAAAGGAAACTGTATTCCCTTCGACCAACGCTTCCCCATTTCCCCTTCCCTCCTGCACCTGGCAGCCACCATCCCACTCTTTGCGCCTGTGAGTTTGACTAGTTTAGGTTCCTCATGTAAGTGAGTGCAGGCAGTACTTGTTCTTCTGTGTGTGGCCTATTTCACTTCACACCGTGTCCTCCAGGTTCCTTCATACGGCCATATTTTACTTTTCGTGGCAGAGGGGAGGAGCAGCCTTTTACGTGGCCTTGTGGTCCGTGGGAAATAACTCCAAGGAGATGCAGACCCTGCAGGTGGCCCACATGGCCACTCTCCTGGCTGAGATGCTGCGTCCCAGCCACTCCACAGAAGCCCGAAGACGTTTTCTCCTTCTGCCTTGAGACATAAGCAGAATTGTTTTCCAACAAGAAATATTAAGACGTGGGCATAAGCGATATTGGTAGAAGGCAATTCTTTTTTTTTTTTTTTAAGTTCTCACCCAAAAATATTTTTCCATTGATCTCTAGAGAGACTGGAAGGGAGGGAGGAGCCGGAGAGAAGCACACACACACACACACACACACATACACACACACACACACACACACACACACATTGATTGGTTGCCTCCCCCCAGCGCTCCTACTGGGGCTGGGAACCTGCAATCGAGGTACGTACCTGTGAGCTGGAATCAAACCCGAGACCCCCTCAGTTAGTGGGCCAGTGCTCTAACCACTGAGCCCAACCAGCCAGGGCAGTAAAAGGCAATCCCCATCTTTCACAGAAATTCCTATTTCTGTAGTTTTGGGGTTGCCTGTGAGCATTCCATGTGGTTTTGCGCACACCTGTTATGACGTAAGGAATTACGGTAGTGATGCAGAGGAGGCATACATAATGGCCTCGTTTTCTGGGACATTCGGCTTCTGACCACCTGGAAGCTGAGGAGACCGATTTCAAAGAATCTCCTCCCTGTTCCAGTGGAATCGAGCTGAGCATCTATCAATACATCTATCAATGAGTTTTAACGAAGGAGGAACCCTCTTCCCCTGCAGAGTTCTCACCCTACCAGCATGTTCTTTTTCAACTTCTTCGATACTTTGTTTGGATGATAGAACAGCCCCACAGAGCTCTGCAGGAGGAGGGATGGTGTTTGGCAGCTTTCAAAACTTCTGAAAGGCTCTGAAACTCCGATTCTCCAGAAATCACCACTCTCAAAACATAGTTATAAGGACTTAGGAATGTCTAGCACCCGCACAGCTACATAAAACCTGGCCTTAGTATGAACATCTAAGTGGAAATGACCTTGTCATACTCGCCTTTGTGTTTTGGCAAGTCCCCCATGGCCGTCAGGGTCTCAGTGAGGGTGGTGCTGATTCTCCGGTAAACGGAGAGACCGAACTCGCAGAGCAGCTGGAAGAGGCCGGGGATGTCCCAGCTCTGCATGCTGCCCGCTTCTTTGCTCGGCTCTCTGACTGACCCTGGGAAGAGGGAAGGCTCCATTGCGTCTGTATCTGACGTGAAATACGACTGAAAGGCCTGGTCGAATTCCCGCTCCCTCTGTTTGAAGACGTTCAGACTCCCGTTAAAGAGAAATCCCACATCCACGGCCAGTTGGCTGAACACGTGCTCTATGTGGGCCACTTGTGCATCTTCCTCCGGCACCTTCTCACCGACGCGGGGGCGCTCTCTGTCATTATCTTCACGGAGAGGAACCAGGAATTGATACATCTTCCTAAAAAGCTGTCCAACCTGTGGGGTCAGGGACAGAAACGGAATAGAATTTTATTTTCTCTCTGGGCTATTTTTGTTGTTGTTGTTGTTGTTGTAAATTTTAAAGTAAACTGACAGAAGTTCTAAATCAAGAACAAATCTGGGCAGCCTAGGAACAGGCGATTGAAGGGAAGATATTTCATTAACACTCTCGTACAGGCTTCGGTTTGGACGGTGGAAGCAGGGTCTGAAATCCCTTCTGGTTTGTGTTTGCCGATCGAAGGCCTAAGAAGGCCGAGCTTTCAATGTTGTTGGCAAACCACAGGCGGTGGCCGGTGGCATGCCGTGGTCCAAAGGGCACCGCAAAGCAGGGTCTGGTCTCACCTCTATCCTAGTGTCTCAGTTCTCTCTTTCCCCTGCGGGGGAATATCGTTTGTGTCTTTATGTTCTCCTCCTTCTCATCTCATCAAAGCAGTCACACGGAAGTGCAGGCGCCCAGTACAGCTAACCGGGTCACTTAGGATGGTTACTCATGGCAGTGAGCCAAGCCCTCGGAGCTGCCGTGAAAGGAATGGAGCTCTAGTTATAGAATTCCCTACTCTCTGGGAGGAGAGTGTATGTTCTCCTTCATCTGTGGGACAGCTAAGTCTGTGCCAGGACATAGCTGCCTCTATGTGATAGTGACACGGCAGCTACGAACGTATCAGCTACGGAACGTCACTGCTGCGGCATCTGAGTGCGGTTCAAAGAATTCTCCGGAAATTCTTAGAGGACTCATGCCTTTCTCAAAAGGTAATCTGGGTGGGCCGTCTGCCTCTCCCTCTGCCAGCGTCTCTGTTCGTTCACCTGAATCCACTTGCAAAAGCAAAACTTTAAGGCACCAAGAAGTGTTCCTGAGACCACACAACCCGCACAGGTCGGAATGGTCTCCTGACTTCCCGCCCGTTCTTACTCCGCCGTAATCTGGTGTGTCCGAGAGCGGCAATAAGAACGGAGCAGATGCAATGAACAGCGGAGGCAAATTAACCTGGCAGACGGATCATCCTGAGGGTTGTTCCCCCGGCAATTGGGCATGGCACTGCCACGCCAGGAGCACACTCTAATTAGCGCGCGCTCTGCTGTGCAGAGGGAAACTTCACTCCGGTTCATATTCCGCTCACTTCGTGAAGGGGGAGGGAAATCCAGGCCAATAGAGTAGGAGACTTTTGTGGGGCAGAGCGCATGGTATTCAGGTCACCTCCCTCTGCGATTCCCTCTGCCCAGAAGACAGCCGGAGGGCACAAAAAAGAAAACACGCCAGTCCTGTAAGACACACATGGATAGGCTCAAAGGGAACATGAGGTTGTGTGTGTGTGTGTGTGTGTGTGTGTGTGCACACACGCATGTGTAAGATGCCAGGGAAGGCAAGCCAACCGAAGGAGAGATTTAGGAGGCAGAGAATGTCTTCATATGTTTGGCCTCCAGGGGAAAAAATTAGCAGCTTGAAATCAGAGACCATAATGCTATTATTTTGAGAATGCAATTCAGCAACATTTATTGGACATCTATAGTGCTTTAATGAAGATAAGTGGAGTATGGTCCCTGCCTTTATAGAGCTTACAATCTAGTGGGAATGTGTTCACAAATAATAAGTACAAAAAGTGCTAGGGTGTCATTCATACGGTGTCCCTAAAGGGAGGGACAAAGACTGAATGGCTGTTGTAATTTATAAATTGTGCAGGCCAGGTGAATCATGCATCAACATGGATGTTAGATTCTAGATCGCAAAAGGCCAATATCCTATCAGGCATCTCTATTCTAAATATTAATATAAATTTAAAAAATTTAAAAGTCAGTTGAAGAAGATACCTTAAAAACTTTAAAATCTTAAGCTCTTTTATTCCCTTACCACATTTCCCACAGAGGACCAACTAGGCTGGTAGGTTGTATGAAATCTCACACAGTCACTTTCCAAGCAAGATTTGCACTCGTCCCAGGAATCTGCCAAAGACTCCTGACAAAGCCTTTCTTCCTCTTCCAGATGTTCTTGAACTTCGTTCGTCAGTTTCCGGGCCTCCTAATTAAAAAGTGGAAGCAGACATCCTATTTGCATTTCATGACTCTACGTATACTTTAGTTGATTTCACTCTTTAAAAATAACACAATTCTAGACCACTTCTTCAGGCCCCTAGCAGCCGACAGATCTACCCCAAAGAAAGCTTTCTCTGATTAAGAGCACTGACAGATTCCTACTGAAGACTGTGAAAAGGTTATCCATTCATTTACTAGGTATTTACGGAGTGCTTGCTATGGAACAGACATTACTAGACGCAGTCCCTAATTTGGGGAATGACGGTAACATGTTTACTTGCCTGTCTTTATATCTAGTTCTTGAGGGGTGTAGAAGGTAGTCTTAAGGCTTAGAAAGCTGACACATTAATCTGTTTCAGTTATGCTCCCTTTAGGTTTTTTAAGTTTTTAACACTTCGAGAAAGTGCGATTCTTGTTATATCGGATCAGGCCTTCCTATTCATAATTCCGATTGTGGGGATGCTGTACGTTTTGCACCTTCATTCTTCTTGTCCATATTCCCAGCACTCCCTCTTGTGGTGATTTGCTGCTCTTGGCCAGGTCCCACTCTGGGTGGAAAGGAGCCCAGCAGAAGTGACACGTCTGTCCCTCAGAACCTCAGCCCTGTCCCCTGAGCTCCTCTCAGGCCCCCAGGCTACCCCCCCTCCCCCCCGCCAGTCCCCTGGCCTCCCTACAGTGCGGATTTCTGCAGGCAGGCTCCCTCCGGACCCGAGTACTGCAGGGGAATTGCGGGGAATAATGGACCAGCCATTAGAAGATAGCGGCAGAGCTAAGGGCCACCCCCTTCAGTGAAAACTATACAAGGAAGCCATTTTTCTGAGCTTAAACATAACTTAGTGTGTGTCTTCAACTAGTGAAAAAAGAAGACTTCACCCTTTTCTGGCCCCAAAAAAACACCTGGACACTGATGATCCCCTGCATCTCCTTTGCTGGGCTTGCATTGCTCAGCGGCCCTCATGGCAGCATTCGGAGGCTAAGCCAGGTGGCATGTGCTATGTCCCACAGTAGGTCCCACGGCGCCTTGTGGCTCAGACAGCGTTTCCTCACCTCCTTGGCAGAGCAGTTTGAGAACCCTACATCTTCTCGAGGGAGGCTGCCTCACCTTGACACCTAGCTTTTCTCAGTCCCAGTTTTAAACAGTCTGCTCATTGTCATCATAAATCTAATTCTCAATATGTCCAATTCCCAACTACAGCCACTGTGTGCCCTTGGGCAAATGGGAATTAAAAATAGGATCTACCACGGAAACTGGTTTGGCTCAGTGGATAGAACGTCGGCCTGCGGACTGAAAGGTCCCGGGTTCGATTCTGGTCAAGAGCATGTACCTTGGTTGAGGGCACATCCCCAGTGTGGGGGGTGGGGGGGGCGTGCAGGAGGCAGCTGATCGATGATTCTCTCTCATCGATGTTTCTAACTCTCTATCCCTCTCTCTTCCTCTCTGTAAATAATCAATAAAATATATTTTAAAAAAATAGGATCTACCTCTTAAGGTTTTGTATTAAGTGAAAGAAGCCAGCAAGGCATTAAGCAAGTTATTTGTAGTGCTTCCCAGGTTTCTCCCACCGGCCCCCAAGAGCGTAACAAAAACTAACACCGAATCACGGCCCACGTTTCGGTAGTGAAATGTCGCCGTGGAGGAAGCAGGTCTCTGGTTGAGGAATGCCTGCTCATTCCTTCCATTTCCCCCTCAATGTCTCACCCACGGACAGTCCGTATCAATGCCTGTAATTGACAGCTTATTAAAGTCCCGTGTGGGACTTGAAAGAATCTGGAGTGGGGGAAACTAAGTCACTCTAGGGATTTCCCGTTTAGTAAGTTTCCGACGTTCTCACTAAATATTGTTAGGAGGGGTCTGGGGAGGGGGTTGATATGATGCTGGGTCAACTGAGGATGGGAGGTGCTCAGTGCTGGGAGATGGGGGGCACCAACCCGTCTATACCAATTCATAGTTTGCCTAAAGTCTCCCCTATTCTGGGTTTAAAGTAATTTTAGGAGACTTAGGTTAAACAAGTTTTTCTTTTAAAAGATTAAAAATTTTTAATTGAGTGTCCAGATATTAAGAGTGAATTTTTATACAATAAGAAAAATTAAAACTTTAAGAGTCCTAGGATTCTTTAGGGCCAGAACTGAAACCAACCCCTGCTTCCTGACCCACCCCAACTGGACCATTCTCTTCATGAGACTGCACCCTGGGCTTCCCAGGAGGCTGGGGAAAGGGAGAAACATGGAAAGCCACTGGGTCCCCCAGGCAAAGCACCAGCTGACATTCTCCCCAGCCATTCAGGACAGTGAATTGTTAACCCCATGGTCGGCAAACTGCGGTTCTCAAGCCACCTGAGGCTCTTTGGCCCCTTGAGTGTGGCTCTTCCACAAAATACCACGGCCTGGGTGAGTCTATTTTGAAGAAGTGGCGTTAGAAGAAGTTTAAGTTTAAAAAATGTGGCTCTCAAAATAAATTTCAATCGTTGTACTGTTGATATTTGGCTCTGTTGACTAATGAGTTTGCCAACCACTGCGTTAACCTGTTAACATCTCAAACCACAGTTTCCTTATTTGTAAATGAAAGTAATGGTTTACCCAGATGTTGGAAGAATTATATGTGATAGTGTTTTATTTTATTTTTTAAAATACATTTTTATTGATTTCATAGAGGAAGGGAGGGGAAGAGGTAGAAACATCGATGATGAGAGAGAATCGTTGATTGGCTGCCTCCCACACTGTGGACGGAGCCTGCAAACCGGTGATGTGCCTCAAACAGGAATCAAACCGTGACCTCCTGGTTCGTAGGTCACCTCAACCGCTGGGCCACGCCGGCCGGGCGTACGTGATGATGTTTGGTGTGCGGCCTGTGAGTGATATTTGGTGTCCTTCGTCCCAGTGGCCAGCCTCGCAAGGTCAGCGGGGAAGAGTGAAGCTCCAGAAGCTTCCACATTCTCCTCAGGAAAGAGTTATTTTTAATTCCCTAAAAACCTTTTGCTTGCTGCCAGAAGGAAGGGGCGCTTTCAGCTGCTGGCCAGGCAATCTCCTTTCCTGCTAGGGCCCCGGCAGGAAGTGGGGGCGAAGGTGTGTGACAGGATCCCCCAGCTCTGTCGCACGGGCTGTCCAATAGCTTGCTGGCCCTGGGGCCACCGTGCAGGGAGGGGGAGAATCCCAGCAGCCACCTGAGACTCGTGGCCTCCCTCTTCAGAGGCCCAGGGAGGAAATACTAGAACTCCTCTTTGAATTTTTAAATTTAAAAATTGACTCTGGGGAGGAAACCTAGGGAGTTGTTTAATGAGTATAGAGTTTCAGTTTCGTAAGACGGAAAGAATTCTGGAGATTGGCTGCCCAACCATGTGAATGTACTTAGCGCTTAAAAGTAATGAAGATGGTAAACTTTATATTATGTGTATTTTACCACAGTTTTAGAATTATTTAATGAAAACGCGTTTTAAAAGTAATTTTCCCTTAATGTTAAAATGTAAAACATTTCCCAAGTTCTGTTTGTTAAAGTTTTGACCTCCTCTTTGATTTAAAGGGTAATATTGGAAAACCATTTAAAAAAAATGTTCTAATTGTTTTGAGGGTTATGTTAATGGTTAATGCTATTAAACTATGAGCCATGAAATGTCGATAATTTAGAAATGTATTGAGCTTCATAATTGTAACATATGAACAATTTTTAACATTTTCCATGGACATTTGAATATATAGTGAGTGGCCAGATTATTATGATCTCTGAACGCATAATAATCTGGCCACTCGGGGTGTGTGTGTGTGTGTGTGTGTGTGTGTGTGTGTATTAGAGGCCCTGTGCATAAATTTGTGCACGGTTGGGGTCCGGCCAGCCTGGCCAGGGGGAGGGGACATGAGCAGTTGGCTGGCCTGCCTGCTAGTTGAACTTCTGGTCAAGGGGACAATTTGCATATTAGCCTTTTATTATATAGGATATACACTGAGTGGCCAGATTCTTACGCATTCAGAGATCATAATAATCTGGCCACTCAGTGTAATGTGTATGCTCTGTTGGCAAGATCCATGGTTTGAACCACGGCTGTCAGGTGAAGGTATCTGAATTAAAAAAATGATCAGGCTGATGTACTATCTCATCCCATGGTGCTCTCTGTGGTGCTGTGTCAGGGCAGTGCAGGAGGCTGACGGCTGTGCGGAGCCTGGGGAAGGCGGCCCTCACATTCCAGACACACTGACACAGGCCTCCTCTCTCTGTTCACTTGCAGCCAGTTGCCATGAGCTGGGTTTCAGAAGACTCGGTTACATGATGGTTTTTATTGTCTAGCTTTAACTAAACTAGCCCTCACTAACAGGACAGGAAGTTAAAAACCCAGCTGATTATGAATAATCTCAGCTCAGCAAGACACAAAGTAAACGGCAGAGCTGATCCTTCTTCATTCTGCGCTCTTTATTGGTGACAGATAAAAATCTGATGATCTAGCTGAAACCGGTTTGGCTCAGTGGTAGTGCGTCGGTCTGCGGACTGAAAGGTCCCAGGTTTGATTCTGGTCAGGGGCATGTACGTTGGTTGCTGGCACATCCCCGGTAGGGGGTGTGCAGGAGGCAGCTGGCCGATGTTTCTCTCTCATCGATGTTTCTAGCTCTCTATCTCTCTCCCTTCCTCGCTGTAAAAAATCAATACAAGATATATTTAAAAAATAAATAAATAAACAAATAAATCTGATGATCTAATCGGCTCTGGAACATGGGCTAAAATATTTCAAAATATCTAGGTTATTTGAAATACAAACTTATATTCCCTCTAGCTAACCACAAACCTCATCCTAAGTGTATTTTGTGCCTTGAACTACTAGTAGGTGGTAGTAACTCAGGTTTTTAATTTATAAATAAATTAATATGCATAACGTTTAGGAGTGAATGCTAACATGTTTTTGGAATAGGGATAGGAGATAAAAAAAAAGAAAAAACTTTGCGGACCACTGATCTGGCCAAAAACTCCCTGAATATTTCTGACTCAATATCCTAACTCAAAAGGAACTAAGGATAAAGCATTTTTTAGAAAGCAACATTCCCAAACAGAGGTGAGTTCCCACAATTCCCGGATCTGGAGCCGTGCAAAGGCCTATTCTACAAGGAATATGTTCTTTGAAGACATTTACAATGTCTTCCGTAAGATCTGCTCTCAAAAAAAAAAAATAAAAATAAAAAAAATCTATTATTGAGAGGGTGGGAATCATCAACTGGCCTTGTAAGTGCAATATTTATGGCCTAGATATGTTTAAGAACAGATGTTATTTTCAATTGCTGTACCTGTTTTTCTTCTCTGCATTTCTTCAGGGTTGTCATTAGATTAGTATGTTCCTCCTCTCTCCTTTCCATCATGATTTTCATCTGCTTCATGCCAATCAAAGCCTTCTTCACCTCCTCATCAGCACCCATATCGCCAGGCTCAGGAAAACCTGTAAGATATGTTTCTGCTTTTTTCTTTGAGATCTGATCAGAGTACAATGTATCTGCATCAAAATACAGCGAATTCGCCAATTTTACCCCGTGTCTTCTAGATAGATAGTTAATTGTTCTGTATAGCATCAGACGCTGAAAGCAGATCGTAATGAATTAGCTGTCAGCTGCCACGTGGACCCCACTGCCACACGGATAACACCTTCTATTCCTCACTGCTGAGCTCCCAGACAAGTCAGAGTTCATTTAACCTCAATTTTGCCATTTTACTCAGGGTCTGTTTTCATTTACCCATTTTATCCCTTTCACTTAAAGCTCGAGTGTGTTTGTATTAAAGCAAAGTTTGCATTTTCTTCACAATTTATATTCAATACCCAATTGGGAACCTCAAACACAGTGAGCAATTTCCCTTTCTCTCAGCTTCAATGACTTTCCTCAAAAGTATCTCATTTAATGCAAGGTTCTTTAATAACCTACTAGACATCTCTTACACATTTTAATAATCCCCGAGTCAGTATAAAATTCATTATAATTCTCTCCACAATAGCCAACGTGGCTTCCTAACGACCTCATTCTTGCCTTCAAATTTAGATCCTCCCCCAAAAGCAACATTTTAACTGACGAATTGTTCTAAGGGTTAAGTACCCAAAACATATATTAGCAAGCGAAGGTCAGAAGTTAACGAGCACAGACCAAACAGACTCCATGTCATTCTAACCCATCCTCTCCCTATCTCAAGAACAACCGCACAGAATACTTTGTTTAAATGTTTCGAATGCTAGCAAAGAATTTCACTGTTCATTAAAACTGTGCTCAGAGGACACCAAACATCTGGACGGTACCAAGAAATGAAGTCAGAAAGTTGGCAAGTTTTATCTGTGTGATAGCAAACATCTGGATTTAGGAATGTTCTCTGATACTCCATTGGAATTTTCTATTTTTATCCAGATGGTTGGCGTCAGGTCTCCTTGGTTTGAATGCCTAGAGGACATCTCACCAGGAAACCAGAGGGCCGTCATGAATACGGTTCTCTCTCCCCGGTAAATCCCTGTAGGTGCCAGCAGGACACGCAAACAGGACACGGCACAGACAGAGAAACTAACCATACCCTTCAGGCGCCCGTGGACAGCGGCCTTGTCCCTCCACGTAGGTGCACAGGGACCACCTTTCAGCCACAGCAGATGCACAGCGAGCACCAGGAGTGGCAGCTTCATGCTGTTCCTGCCAAGGAACAACAAACCCGAATCTGATGCCTGCCATTAGGGTAGTGTCTGTTGGCATCCACTGAAAACACATGGTGACTCAAAGCATTTTTCTGTCAATTTTTCTTTATGACTTTATACATTTCGTAGGCCTGAGACATAGGGAACCTGATATATATGGCAGCCAGGTCTCCAGTTGGTTTACATCCTTTATGACAGTTAAATAAGGTCATCATAGGAAGTACGTGAAATGTAAGGTAACGGATAGTATGGCTCACAGCCCTGTAGAATCCAAATTCCACTTTATTTCCTTGTCAACAGTGAACTCCCCCAAACCCAGAATTAGCTAAAATATACCCCTCCAATTTTGAACCTCAAGTGAGTTTTCACCCAGATGGTTAAATACTTATTTTTTTTTACAACTTTATTATTATTATTTTTTATGGAACAAAGCAGCCTCCCACAGTTTTTCCTAGTCATAAAACACATCAATATATATAAATCATTCACAGTTACATGTTTTCCTTCTTAGATAATAAATTTCCTTTTAGATTTAATTTCATATACATTAATTATAAACACTTAAAATGCAAATGGTTATAACTTTATGAACACTTAAAATGCAAATGGTTATAACTTTACAAAGGGAAGTTGACTGACTTAAAACAACTGTATGCTTTAATAAAGTTAAATCTATAAAAACGTTAGATTACCTTAAGTCTTCCCAAACACACAAAAAAACCTTCCATTATTTAGTCAATATTAGAAATGTTTTTTAACATAGTAATAAAATAACATCAGTACTAGTAGTTAAAAAGTTATCATATTTTACATACATCTACATCTATTATTTGAACTAACTCTTCTCTTTCTATATGATCCTATTAATTAGCAAATGAAACTTTTAAGTATATTTACCACTAACTTTGCAGTATCTCTCCAGTGAGGTTACCACCAACTCCTTGAAGGACCTTCACTTTTCATCCGGGTCAGGGATTTAGCCTTGTTCTATGAATTTGATGACACAGTCCCTAATCCTATTAACCTAACATTTTGAGATTAAGAATATGGTTTAAAATTTGGTAGGACTTAGAAAGAAACGCTAGAGGGCGCACTGTGCACATGATCAGGAACAATGTGTTACTTTATTTACACAAGTGCTTTGGTAGAACTCATTAAAGCCTTAAAAAAAAGTATGTATATATATATATATATATATATATATATATATATATATATATATATATATATATATTATCCCGGAAATTTATGATATGTATATTCCTAAATAGACAAATATATTTTATTGTAAACATAAGCAATAATATGAAAGAGATGATGTAAACTCTTAGATAATACACTGAAGATTATTTATATAGTTGTTTGGCATTTTTGGATTAGATGCAAACACATTTTAACTACATAAAGTCATAAAATTTAGCACATAAAAAAAGCAATAGGTAAGTATTTCAACCTCACTACAATTGGATAATTGATTAATTTAACTGATAATGTGACCTCTTAGTAATCCATTTAAAAACAATTTAGTTGTTAGTCACCATAGCCAGGTATAGAATCCACAGCGATGGGTCCCTCTGGCTACTGAAATAGGAAGATTGTCTTGGGCCCCTTTGGAGGCCCTGAGGGCTTAGCCAATCCCTAGTGATTATGTGCCCAGTACTTTCTAAGCGGGTTAGATGGACAGTTCTGAACCCGTCTCAAGGTCCCTGAGAAGTTGGTCCTTGTGTTGGAGCAATCTGTAGTCTGGAGTTTATGTCTGCTCCACCTGGGCACTGGGACGGGCAAGTATAGGACTCACTCAACGGCCAGCTCACACTCCGTTTCCGCTGTTTTAGTTGGAAACCTCTTACTGCTATTGGAAATGAGGTTAGCTCAAAGCAAAGCTTGAACTAGGATGTTGAGTAACCTTATTGAGCAGCTACAATTCACATCTATAAACAGAGGCGTTCTGTCCTGAGAGATGACCTGGTGGCCAGCGGAGGAAGCAGCCCTGTAGGAATTCTTTTTAAAAATACATTTTATTGATTTTTTACAGAGAGGAAGAGAAAGGGATAGAGAGTTAGACACATCAATCAGCTGCCTCTTGCACATCCCCTACTGGGGATGTGCCCGAAACCAAGGTACATGCCCTTGACCGGAATCGAACCTGGGACCTTTCAGTCTGCAGGCCGACACTCTATCCACTGAGCCAAACCAGCCTTGGTCCTGTATGTGTTCTTCTCAGGAAGAGAGAACACTGTTCTGAAAAAGCCAGTCATAGGAGATTACCCAGCACCATGCTGACCCCGGGAACTCTTTTCAGTAGTTCACTGTTGACCAAGCGTGGGCCCACTTGAGGTCATTCACAGCTGACATCTGCACAATCTTTTGCAACAAGCCCAGAATTTGTTGAAAATGGAAACAGTCGTTTTGGCAACTCAGTGGCTCGCCCTCTACTGGCAGGCAGACTTTTTCTGTAGCCCGTGTCCCCCCTCTTTAAATGTAATTTCTGAGAACAGAACTTTATTGCTTACTGGTACTGATTACTTTTTAAAATATCTTGAAGCTTTTAAAAAGAAATAATTTCTTCCTCTAATTATTTCATCTGTTTTCACAGCTGTCATTTTTGTACTTAAGATTAAGCAATACTTCATACAAATCCAGTTACTTTCATAATTATGACATCATGACATTCAAGACGTAAATGGATTATAAAATATTATAAATACCTAGTTGGTAACTAAGGAGACCTAGAAGCAAGGCATCACAATGAGGGGGGGGGGGGGAAGACAGCAGAGAGAGGCATGTGGTATCAGCTGAGAAATAGAAGAATCAGACAGAGGGACTCCGAAATGTCAGGCTAAGCTGCCAAGTTCAGTCTTGAGCTGAGTTTCTTAGGTGTGTGGCATAAAGGACTTGCCAATAAGTCACCTCCAACTAGATTTGCTTCCCCTCTCCCCCGCTTTGCTTTAGGCCCAGCCAGACAAGCTCTGGGCTTCTCCTTGAGACCCTTCCTTGGCAGTAAGAATGGGCTGAGCTGTTTGCCCACCCAACTTGCTGCAGGCCCTGATGGCTGGGCCACATATTTCTTTCTTTCACAATATTTGCTGAGGATCTGCTATGTGCCAGGCACTTACAAGACAGTAGACAGCTGCTTAGTCCTTGTCCTGACCTTTTCCCCCTTGCCCCACCCTTAGATGTTTATATTCCCCAGGGTTTTGTTCTGGGGGACAATGCCAAGGTTCTCTCTTTGGGTCATGTGACACGGCTGTCTCTCTGACCACATGGCCCACAGGAATTTCATTCGAAGTTCCAGTCCAGCCTTCTCTCCTCACTCTCATCCTGCCATGATCTCCCTGTCACCAGATCCAGACATTTGGGAATCATCCAATCCAACTCGAAAGAAGAGGGAACTATATCATCCTAATTTATTCTAGGTGATGCCTGGGACAAGGAAATATTTCACTGTCATAAAAGCTATTTTGGTAGAGGTAAAAAGAAGGGGGAAAGCAGTTGCCTGCTTTCATTTGGCTTAGAGAAAACAACGTTTTTTACTATATACTAAAATATCAGACACCACACCACGTAACTGCAAAACTTTAATACACCGTGCTTAGACACGATATTCAAAGACTAAACTTTCCCAGTACGTGCACGTCATCTTCTGAAAGATGAACTATTTTTATCGCTGCTGTTGTGGAACGTGGTACCATTCTTTCCCTCAGCGTCCGACGCTGGTGTTGGTACCTGCGAGAGGAAGAAATGACATCTCAGCAGGCCGGGAATCAGGAGAGTAGCCCGATGCCCATCTTCAGAATTCACCACCAAAGGACGGCTGGTCCTCCCAGCCCTTCCTCCTCGGGATCTCCTGGACGTCTCCCGTTCTGGACGCCAGCCCTTAATATGCATCTTACTAGCACTCGGTCCCTGGGCTAACTGTTGTGCTGCGAGCTGGCGTGCACCTCCCCATCACTGCCTCCATGAGGAGCAGCTGTGCAGCGGGCAGTGCAGGGAGACGCCCAGCATGAGGAGGCCATCAGCGCTGCTTACCCTGTGCGGCCTGGCCTCTGGGGAACCGGGGCCCCTCTTCTCTGCTGGGACTCGATCACCCTGTCGTGAAGGTAGCACCTTGGTTTTACCATAAACTTCCGCGGTGGGGCGCTGGCTTTGGGAGCACAGGCCTAGCACCTCCTGGTCCAGAGGCCTCTTCCGCGCCCACTGCCAAGGCTTGGGAAGTCCTTGGCCTCGTGGTTTCTTCTGGGGGGGGGGGGGGGGGTTCCCCGGGCCTGCGGCTGTGTCTCCTGGGCACCCCTGAGAGAACAGACTGTGGGAGCTGGAGGAGCTCCCTCCTGCCTGCTGATGTCGGTGCTGGGGCGGGCCGGGGGGTGAGGAGGGGTGAGGAGGGGGGAGGAGGGGGCCCTGGGTAGGTGTGTGGGGGGGGGCGCTCTCTGGCTTCATGGGGAGAGGCGTCCCAGCTGGAGCACACCCATCACCTCGTGACCAGAATGCACAAGTCCCTGTGTGAGTTGTTTTATTTAAATATATATATATATATATATATATATATATATATCTATATATATATATATATATATATATATATATAATTTTATTTTTTATTTTTTGAGAGAGAAAGAGAGAGGAAGAGAGAATAAGAGAGAAACATCAATGCTGAGAGAGAATCATGGATAGGCTGCCTCCAGCCAAACCCACGCATGTGCCCTGATGGGGAATCCAACTGTGACCTCCTGGCTCTTAGGTCGCTGCTCACACACCGGGCCCTGGGGTGGGAGTGGGGGGGCCGGTCTGAAGGAGGCGGTTTTGAGACAGATCTTATCTACAGAGCAGCCAGGATCCTGCATCCAGTCTCCGGCCAGGATCCCGGGCCTCGCCTGTGCCCACGCCAGCTGCACCTGCTCTTGCCTCAGTCCACAGTCTGATGGCCAGCCCGCCTCTCCTCTCACTCCTTCCCCTTCTGCGGGGCAGCCTTCAGCTTGGCGAGAGGCTAAGGTCGGTCTGCCGCTGTCCGGCACTGTTACAGTTATAATTGTGTGAAGTGTGTTTAACATTTAGCATTATCTAATTCAATACCTAATATATTAACCTGTTGTATGTAAGAGTGAATATTACACCTAGTAACTGGGTGAATGCCCTAGTAACTGGGTGAATGCCCTAGCAACTCCTGCCTGGAACCAGAACCGTTACAAGCCTGAGACCCTCTGATAAGATCCACTGAAGACCCATTGGTGACCCCTACAGAGAACAGAGGAACGCCCAGAAATGGCTATAAAAGAAGCAAGGTTAGAGGCATCAACCAGAGACGCCCGAAGGCTCCTCCACCGACGGTCGCTCTCTGCTCCCCTTCTCTGCCCGCCCGAAGCTCTGCCCGAGCTCCATTGAGCTCTCCGTGAGCCGTGATCCTCCAGGCCTCGACGGACGCCCAGCTGCAGCTGCAACCGTGTCCTGAGTGTGTGTGTCTGTCAGCGTGGGTCTCCGGGTGGCTTGCGGAGTTCTGGAACCCACCCGGCCTTAGGTAAATAAACTGTGTGTGATTTGTGCAATGAATGTTTGTCTCCCAGTGTTTGAATGTATGCTCGGGCAAGTTTAAGTACCTTGGCAACTCCGCCTAAGTCCACTAGGTGGCTGAGGAGCCCCAGGTCACCTGTGCACACGTCCTCAGTATAAATACTATTTGGACAGGAACCCGCAAAATAATTTTTCCTTCCGCAAAAGGCTCTCCCGGAGATTCCCCATCCCCGCAGCCGCCACACTCCGCTGCCCCGTCCGTCCCCATCCTCCGGAGCTTGGGGCTGAGGCCGGGGCGGCGGCGGGCGGCGGGCACGCGGCCTCCTCTCCTGGGCAGAAGGATTCAGGCACATCGTGTAGACAGATCAAGTTCTTACAAAAGTGCTTTGGTCATTGCCATTTTTACTTGTTTTTTTGGTGAGGGAACATTTATTGGGTAAATCATAGGGGAAGAAAAAGAATTCCTAGAAGAAATGGGCTTA